TACACGTTTTATTTGAATTGTAGAATAAAATAAATATTGACATTTTGACATTATTTTATCATTAAGATTTTAAAAAACTTAATTTGTTTGCTTTTCCACGAGAATTTTAAGTCAACATTACACTGATTACGTGTCACCCCGGTTGAGAACCACTGGTTTACCTTTTGACTCAGCCTATTATTCTTTTAGTATATAATTTCCGCATATTCATAATCAACTTCATGCTCTGGAGTTTAGGACACTTCCTTGGAGAAGTATCAAGTTAGGATCACCAAATAGACTATATACATAGATGATATATACGTTGGCATAATCGTATATGTTTACTATATGCTTATAGTATTTACTTATTCACGAAGAAATCTGAAGTATTTTTTTTTTATATCAAACATTAAAAAATACCTTATCACAACTTTTATTTGTATATACTCCACTATAATTAATCCGTGTTCAAGTTTTATTGCATTATCTCGAATACCCCATTCGGGAACTCCGAAAAAATGATTTTTAATTCCATTATAGGTAAGACTAAAAATAATAAAATTAAAACAAATTTTAAAAACCGGGCTTATAAAACGAACTAAAAAATAAATAAGAATGACAAATGTTAAAAAATATATTTATTTTTTTATTTTTTTCGACGCAATATAATAATATTAAAGAATATTATAGAAATTGAATAAGAGTATAAAGTATAAATGATAAACTGATAACATACTGTACATATATTTAAATATGTGGGGCTTTCAATAAATATAAAAATGTAATGAAAATTAATGAAAGAAAGACCATAGCAGGTACCCACTACAAATGTATAATTATTTTACAGTGTTCTGCCTCTCGCAGAACCCGATGAGAATTTTTTAAAAACACCTTCGACTGTTATCTACTGATATAAAAAGTGCGATAGGTACCTATTGCTCAACCGCAACGACTCAGATGAAGTAATACCGGAGAATGAGAAGCATGTTTACTTAGGTGCCAACATAGAGGTAGGTATAGATGAACATGACGTTAAGTTAGGTCATGTGATGCGATATTACACAATCGAATAATATGTACCCGAGTATAGTTTTAGAAAAAATGATTCGACCGGCGGAACAATACGAGAAATCGTGCGGACCGTTGTACATTTAATTTTTACGATAACAATATTTGAAAGTCACTACATTATACGTAATCTCCAAGTAGATACGATTAGCTCGATAAAATAAATATGTTTTTAATTGATTGTAAGGTTATTTAGTTAAAAATGCATATGCAAATTGTTTACGCATAAGTAAGTATTATACGTGGCGACATTGTGTAGGTGAACTAAATTAATAAATACCGAACTACGTAAGGTGCTTAAGCGGCTAAACAGTATATTTCGTATTCCTATAGTAAATTCATCATTATTTATACATCTATCCAGGGCCGTCGCTAGGGCAGGACGAACGGGGCCCTCACCCCTGGCCCCGCGCCATTCACTACGGTTAGCAGTCCTCCGCGCGGCCGCGCTTTTATAGATATAATAAAAAAAAAAAAAAAGTTGATGACCAATGTAAAAAAAATTATATTATCTTTGTTTTTCTTCATATAAAACAGTTGAATAATTGTGTATAATTTATATTAAAAAGTATGTAGCTATATGTGTATGCATTATATTCACTTGAATTCTATTTATTTTTTTTTTTTCTATTTTTAGGCAGGTATTAATGTCTCCGACTTTCTCTGAAAGATTACGATGACGATAGCTCACCGCAGCTAATAATAATATTATAAGCATGGGTGCCCGGAGGGGGGAAGGGGCAGAGGCAAGACGGAACATCTGCCCCCCCCCCCCTAAACTTCAAAATTTCAAATATAATTTTATTTTAAGTACTTTTTGACGTTCGATTTTATTATGCCGCTTCCTGATAAATTTCCTGCGGGAGACCCATGATTATAGGTATTCACAATAATTTCTATTATTATCTTTCTGACAAAAATAATATTTATTAATGTAATTATGTACAAAGTGTATCCTACAGAATTCAATAATACATTTTAGATTTTTAGTGCAGCGAGAGAGGAATGTATTAATTTTACAATGATGTTTATTTTTTTATTTTGAAAACTTTTCTACCAGCAATTTTGCTCCGCTTTACAATAATTATAGCACTTTGCCATTGATTAAGTACAATTTTAGGCCTCAAAATTTTACTCAGCCCTAAGCCCCGCAAATTGTCAGGACGGTCCTGCATCTATTATACAAATATTATAAATGTTCTAAATCAAACCCTTTGATGATAAAAAACTGAATGTAATCGGTTTAAGTTTAATCTTAAAATTATTTTGTGGTTTAATTTATAATAATTATACTATACGTATACTTATAATTTATACATTTATATTATAACGTAAAATTCTAACGAGACACCGACAAAAAAAAAATGTTGTAAAATAAAAATGGGAAAAATAGAATGCAAATACAATGAAAGTTAAATTATAACGTCATCAGAACATAAGACAGCCATTGCTACTCGTAATTTTCAAAAATTATGTCTGTAAAGTTACGTATGTATTATAAGGTTAGCGCAGCTACGTATACATGCGTGTGTTACGCGATTTTCCAATTTCTTTGTACGAGTACAAAAAATTACAAACAATGATAATAATTAACGATGAAATAGGTAATCGTATTTGTTTTTCTCCTGGTATGTTTCACCGGTCCGAACGGATTATTTGTTTAAGAAATCGTCATTGCAAACTTCGCGGTGTGCCTAAATGCAGATTTAAACTCTATACGAATCCATGTGAATCCATTGTGAATTGCAACAGATATTCGTTGCATCCTACAGATAAGACACATTAGATACAATAAACAATGGCACATAATAATATTGTTATTATACCAAAAAAAGAAACGCCCTAATGCATGAAACAGTGAAATCGTGGTTTTTTTTTTTTTATCGTGTGTTTACCGATTGTACAAGTTAGAATATAATATTATTATATTATCATCAAATGACAGTTGAATTCTGTACAATGTAACTAACCGAAAAAAAAAAAAGATAAAATTCAACGAGATTACACGCGTATACATGCATGACAGTTTCTGGACAGTTAATTTGAACCAATACAGTTGTATATAATATAATGATTTTACAGTTATTTTTTTTTCTCTCGAAAAACTACACTTTTTAAGACAATATAAAAACGCTCAAAAGTTTCGCTACCACTGTAAACTGTACGAACAGATATTTGAATACGGATGGTATCTGTTTTTAAAAGGTTATGTTTAAGAATGTTTCAGTTTAATTTTGCGACTTGGATTTTAGAAAACCACAGAATAATACTATACAAAAACAAAACAACATATGTAAATTCATACAAGCGTTAAAATTCTAAATTCTAAATTCTATAATAATTCTGAACTCTATAATTATTCGGAACAGCTTTTCAAATCCAACGATTATTGTTTTTAATTTAAAATACGATACCGTTCGTAAACCCCTCTGAGTTACTGAAAAGTATATTATTTCCGTATTTTTGTAATTGTTGTAAAACGCTGCAACAAACACGATTTTACTAGTAAACTACTCGAACTAAACGGGACGTTTCACATAGAAAACGAAATTTACATTTCACACCAAATTATCAGTAATCGTACATAACAACAATAATAATACATAAAATATAATAATTATATATTTTAAATTATTAAAAATCGAATAAAATGATAGGCATATTAAATAGATTCGTGATGAAATTATTTGTCAACCATCTATAATATAACTATGCATTTCCTATTAGTTCGATTACTAAACTCAAAACCTAATGATTCGACGAAAGATTTCATATAAAATAAAAATAATTTTAGTCACGCTCGTACACAAGCGCAGTTTCGTTGTTTTTTTTAAGACTACGCATTACCATCAGTCAACACATATAATAACACAAACCGATCAATTAAAGAGAATAGTCAAATTTAAAAAAAAAAAAAATTGTATATGAAAATAGAAATCAAAATAATTTAGTCAATATACTCTATATTTGTCATGTACATCCTCGAAATACTAATTTTATCTATAACAAATTAATTGAGGAAAAATAAACGGTTTTTTTTTTGTTTTGTATTGATACAGCAGAGAAAAGGTGTAGATTATTTTGTGATTTTTCACGGTGCCATTAAAATGTTATTACATACAAAACAACAAATAAACATATTTTAGTAATTTTTAAACGAATAATATTAAGAAAAATAAAAATAGGAAAGGTTTAGGTAAAACTCTACATGTATTTATAAAATAGTGAGCGTGACATTTTCAAAACGCCTCTGGACACGCGTACCTATATATTATTAGATATATCCATCTAATTGATAATATCTATTGGATATATTATATCAGTTATTTAAGTAGAATTAGGCACCTATAGGTATAGCTGCTGGACCAACAATACGATGACAAAAAATTCGCCTATTTTAGATGATTGTACGTAGCGGGGTACTTCGTACTTCGTACTAATGCTTGAATCGGGGAGGGACTCAAGTGGACGGAACTCCTCTACTGATTTAATTATTTTTAACGTCCCCTTACTAATATTTTCTACTGAGATTCGAGGGGGGGGGGTAAGGTGGTACACAAATAATGATGTTTATTGCCCGAACGTCAAATCAAATAAATTATATATTTTTAGAATATTTATCGTCCAGTAATAAATTATTATCATTTTCTTTTTGCATTGAACGTTTGCGGCCTTTGATGATAAAATTAGGATGGTAACTGATAAACACGATTAACGATAGCTGAGTGTTTTCAACTATTTAAGGCAAACAATTTTGTAACTACCTAATTACGTAGCCATATTAATTAATAATTAATTGTATGGGTTGTGTTGAATGTATTGAATTGTGGAATTTTAATATACCTATCAACAATCTACACGTAACGTTAACATTTAAATAATGTTGAGATTAACGGAACAACGTCTAATTCTGATAACAGAATATTTAGACAAATATTAATAGAAATATAATGTGCCGGACGGGTAGTGTGTGTGGCGAGCACAAGAACAACTGGCTAATTAAAGAGGTCACTAAATGGGCACCAAAAATCGAAAAGCTCCCGGGATTTCCGAGACAAAAATGGGTGGAGATGGGATATAGAAAGGAAAGGTATATATTATGTAGATATTCTAAAAATGAATAATGCCGTGTCACCATGGGCGTCCCCAGACATTTTTCTAGGGGGGGGGGCAAAATTAATTTAAAAAATAAATGAAAATTGTTTATACATTTTATTTATAGTAGGTATATTATTATATTTTGTCATTATTACAATTAAAACATTACAATTAGATATTATTATAATACATTAGTCTTTTTCATTAAATATAAATTTCAATCTCCGTGGACATTCTCTACCAAATTGTGTCAGTGCGTTTTCAATACATTTTTCAGCTAATAATTTATTGCCGTGTTAGCACCAAAAAGTACGATAAGATAAAATAATCCGATTATTATTAATGATAGTTTTTATGGATAGCCGTGCGCTGACATATAGCAACATAGGTAGACCTATTTTTAGAAGCTAATTTCTCATTGGAAATTTTACCAATTGCTATATATATATATAATAATATTTATAATTATAACATTCCAGGAGGGGCAAGTGCCCCGTCTTGCCCCCCCCCTGGGGACGCCCATGCGTGCCACTGCAGTGATTGACGGAAATGACTGGCGGTCATAGCAAAGAGCCTAAATGTTTCCGAACTATATTATACTAATTCAACAGAATAAATAGGGATAACAGTATGCCCGTGTAAAAATTTACTTGAAAACTAGAGGATAGTTTGAGTGTATTTATAGATAGGAACTAAATTAAAAACCGACCGCTGTGATAAATAGTCAAGCGAGTAGATTCAGAAAAAAAGTTAACAATTAATAATTATTTTCAATGTTTACCCAAGAGTAATGAAATTAATGAGTCAACAAAAAAAAATGTTGTTTTTTTTATTAGGTAATCCGCATTGCACGCGAACAATGTTCTAATCAAAACAAAGTTTGTTTTATCCGTCGCAGTCTACACAGTACTACAATAGGCAATATCACAACGAAATATTTTGAAAAACAATATAAAACAATACCGGTGTACGTTAACACAATCGATAATTAACAATATAATTATCTGACTTCAATATTTGTCGTCGGCCGATAACTGATTAACATTACCTATATCGTACTTAAGACCATAGCTACAGATTACCTACATTACCTATCTTTGTTGTTATATTCATTGCTGTCAAACGATCAACTGTCAACAATGTACAAATAAACATAAAACAAGAGGGAAAGGGGGAGAGAAATACTAAAATGCGCTCTTGGATGCATCCGTTGAACCTAAAGAGGCCTCAACGTTTGTCGTAAACGAATTTTCTCTATGCAGTGCCGTAACTATGTGGCTCAGTGGCAGATTTTCAGCTTTTTCTAAGAGGGGAAAGGCATCCTTAGTTAATACCACTTATGTACCTGGGCAATAATCAGTTTGCTAAAGAGTAAGACTTTATCGCACTTAATATTTAGCCACAGCTTGGAAAAATAATAGCACAACGACACCACAAGGTTATTTAAGGGCCTTTAATAGTAAGCAAGCGATTATTTATCTATCTATTTATATATATTTATATCGTTTCTTCTTCTTACCGAACTTGGCCCCCGTTTTCACATTTATGTGGATATCGCTATTTATTGTAATATTACATTCTACCTAATTATAAAAATATAATAAACGTCCTATGTCATGCACGGATACACAGTATAATTAGTATAAGTCCGAAAATAGCATTGAAATCGGTACTTCTACCATAATTATACCGTGGTTACCTAATTAGTAATATAACGTACGCAGTCGTAGGAACTGGCAAACACGCTAAGTATACGGTTTATATACCACAACCGGCGTGCGACATGGTATTCCAAGAACGTTGATCTTCTCTCTCCTCCCCCTTCGAAGTTGGATTTTTGTTGATTCTTGATTTCCCTCGTAATAATCACCGTAATTGAGCGTAATGTGTAGTAATTTTGTTTAGAAGAGATTTAAGATTAAATTTTAATGAAAATCGTAAAAATCATATCAAAAATCTACAAAAGCTCTAAAAGAAAATAAATTTGATTATCACAGATACCAATTATTAAAAGCAGAAAAAAAGTTGCGTGCTGTAGTTCGAGGATTACACCCTTACACTAAAATTTGCGAAATCAAAAGAAATCCATCTGATTCAGATTATTCAACGAGTAAGATTTTTAATATACAAATAAAAAAGAAATTGAATCCAAAAGACAAACATAGCGAATAGATGAGGATAAAATTACCCTTATTCTTGTGGACTTAGACCCACAAGCTAAAGCTAATAATAAAGACATCTAGAACGTGGACAGTTTATGTTACAGTCAAATTAAAATTGAGCCACCAAGAAAGAAAAAAAAACGTACTACAGTGTAAAAACTGTCAGTCTTATGGGCATATACTCAAAATTATTTTCACCACAAATTTGTATATGTGAAATGTGGCGAATATCACTGTACAGAAAACTGCCAAAAGTCGAAAAACCAAAACGAAAATGTCCAAATTTATTGTGCTGAAGCACACACTGCAAGCTGGAAGGGCTGCTCTGCTTACAATAAAGCAGAAGAAAAAGTGCGCTTAAAAAAGGTAACTATTGTTATAAAAGTTATTCAACAGAAGCCAGTGAAAACAGCCACGTCTTACGCTCAGATTACGCTGATTCTTTAAATATTGAATACAAAATGTCTCATACGTATGAACAACAACAACAGTCCAACAAAAATGATTCCACTTTAGTGGATACCTTACTGAATTAAATTAAATAACAAAATCAATAGAAAACGTTACACTCTCCGTCTAACGACGTCCGTGTTAACGACGGGAATAATGACCTCGCAGTTATGGCTATTTATTGCCCACCACAAGTTGGTGTAGACGAAATTAAATTCATTACGTTTTTATAGGAGACCGATTCATTGTTAATGGAGACTATAACGCTAAGCACTCCCACTGAAGATCGAGACTTATCACTCAGAAAGGACGTGTATTATTAAAAACAGCTAACACCGTTAGGCGTTAATGCTGAAATAATTTCTTCCATGAAGCCAACCTACTGGCCAACCGATCCGAATAAAATCCTTAATGGATAAGGAAAGGGACAATCTCATTGGAGATGAGACCCCAAACATGTTTAGGTATACAATGTATATTATATGTATTGCTCATGTATTATATATATTTTACTACTTTATACTAATTTCATTGTATTCGTAAAGACTTCTTGTCGTTTAAATAAGGATGCTGAACGGCAGTTATAAAAAAAAATTTAAAACATATGAGTATTAAAATCGTATTCCGTTACTCGTTAGCAATAACTAACGTTGCTCATAACTATAAATTAAATAACTTTATGTATCCTATTTTCTCAACTTCCCGCCTACAACAGTGGCATCCATCATCAATATCAGCTTACAACCTTACAAACTTACAAAACAACAAATGTCCATTCAGCATGGATTACATTGTGCATAAAACATTAGTTTTAATACAAGTGGCCAACTACTGGCCAATTACCAAATTTAATTTTTAAGAGAGTTAATATGAGTATAGGCGCGTGTGATGTATTACAATTAAATAAAGCCTGTGTTATTCGCTTTCGAAAATTAAAATTTCAAACGAATAGTTCCAACGTTGCACACGATATATCCTTATCTTTTTTTTTTTTTAAACACGGGTAATTCAAAAAAATATTTTTTTTAAATATGATTTTCGTATGTTATTAGTGTAAGCCAAAAAAAAAAAAACAAATTTATCGGGAATCCATTTATATATTATATTGGATATATTTGATAAATATACACAACAACCTAACAAGCATTGTATTTTCGTCAAAATTTAATATGAAAAAAAAAACACTACGTTATAAACACTCGACTCAAAACATACGTCACAATAAAACCAATAGATTCCTCGCTACGCTCCGGAGGTAAATCAACGTTATATTATTACGCCCCCCTCCAAAAAAAAAATACAACGACGACTTTGGGAGCGCGATCTCGTCCCGTCGATAATTGACTACTGACTATGCGAGTGGTTAGAGGGGCAGAGGACGTCGACAACCGATTCTTTTTAACGAAACTGCTTAATAAAAAATAACCTCATAGTTCATTCGTTACAATGTAACCGTAATTTGAATTACGACTTGTGGTCTCAAATGTAGTATACTTGAAAAGGCAGATGAAATAAAATACCTTGGGATAATTATCGATTATAGATTAAAGTGGGAAAGTCATATTAATCATATTAATAATATTCTACGTAAATTCTTTTTCTTTTTTAAAAAAGCTAGATATATATTTGATACTTCTTGTAAAAGTACTATTTTTCCGGCGTTAGTTCAATCAGCGTATTTCTGTGGTATATCGACTTGGGGAGGTGCCCAAATAATATTTTGTCTACACTTATTGTTACTATTAAAAGTCGATTAACATTTTTGCTCGAACTTCCTATGATAACTAGCAGCACATTGATTTATAATATGATTAAAGTAAAACAATTAAAATGTGTTTATAGTTTATCAGTTCTAACTGTTTTGTATAAACGTAAAAATTTAATTACTTCCATGGACCACGAGCACAATACCAGATGTAAGCAAAATATTAATATACTTTTGCCAAATCTTAACAAAGTATTTGGTCAAAAAGTATACTATACACGGGTTTGAACTTGTGTCATTCGCTAAATATCAATATAAACAATTTTGAAAATGTATTTGTTTTTAAAAAATATGCAAAACATCAATAATATTTATCTAATTTATAATATTGGTCACTTATACTTAACACTTTTTTCTGGTTGTTGATATATATCAGCACCTATTACAATCTCTGTATTCTGTTTTTTGTTCATAGACATACAAAATGTTGTTCTATGTGTGCATGTATTATTTACACATAGGTATGTTATTTTATTTTATAAGTTTTGATTTAATTCAAAATATTAAATTGTTTATTTGCTCTAGTGATAAGAACCGTACACAAGCTTTGCTTATAGGAGGGGGCGCTGCAATTTTTAATTGATATTTTGTATATAATGTATGGGATCTATTGTTGCAATAAGGATTTATCGTTATTATTATTAATGAAATATTCATTGTCGCGGATTCCCAGCGGAAGAAACAATAAACGACGCGGCAAATAACGGCCCGCGACCCGAACGGTACGCGCGAGCGTGTAGACCGGACCAATGTTGAATCCAAAATATTTTTCTGGGAGGGGGGCTAAAAATTATAATAATGAACTTTTTTTTTTTCTGCTTATCTACCCTCTTGGTCAAATTCGTTTTATTATTCAATTCATTTATCAAAATTTAACAGGGGGCGAACGAAATTTCAGGGGGGGGGGCTATCGCCCCATCTGCCATACATCCGGATTCAACGCTGGATCGGACCCGTCGGTGTTATAAAATTACCGATAGTTTATTATTAGGTAACTTACTTGATTCAATTACCGGCTATATTACTTCTTTATGATAATATTGGGAAATGTATTTTTTGAATACCCAATTTAATAAAAAAGTAATGTTAATAATGTCCGTTGACTGAGCATTTTACAAATTCTTCCCATATATTCGAATGATTACGATCCATTTAACAGTAAAGTTCTACTCAGCCAGTCGGACGATCCGACGAGTTTTAAAGTTTATAACCTAGAACGATAAATAAATAATGAACTTAATAAATTATAATTTATATGTTTGTATTTTTCTTTATCAGTTAGCATTAACCAGTACGGCCAGTCTCGAAGTCGTAATAAATAATAAATGTAACTGTGTAACATGGTATATGATTATATGAAAATGATATGATTATCAGAATTCAGAATATATAAAATATGATTAAAACAATTTAAAAAAATAAAATACTCGTTAAAAGGTAAATTACTTACTTTGTAATACTTTTCCAGATTAAATAGTAATATTCCTGATTTACATCAATTCGTTTGCGTCCCTATACTAATACGTCTCTTTGGGTGGATAACGATATTTTCAAAAAAAATTTATCGTCAACTCAAATTCTGTACCTATTTTTTTTTTTTTTTTTTGTATTTCATCGTACAAATTATTTCTATTTTTTAGTAGAAACAACTTTATCAATGTAAATAGTATACGACACGCGCACCAATAGGTAATAATATTTAACTCCCTTTCTATTCAAATATAGGTTCGCGTTAAAAACATTTAGCCAGGATTTTTAAAAGGATGCGATTACAACCGGTATTTAAGGGGCCGCGTATAGGCAATTTTCACAAGGATTCCTGGAAACTTAAAATTATTTATCAATTCAAAAAAAATTCCAATTTATTGTGTAATGCATCGATAATATTAAAACTGAGTTCAAAATGTTAAATGGCGATTACACTACGACTAAGTGTTAGGACGAAATGTTAATGAATGCTACATTTTTGTAATTTATCGAAAAAACTTTCCTTACATGACCTGTCTTTATTTATAGGTACTATATTTTTTATTCGTTTTGTTTAGTTATGATTATTTAAGGTTTTTAATTCGGGCCTACGTGATTTTGGAATAAACATTACGGCTGTTAACCGTACAGTAATGGTAAATTAATATTGTTGTATCTTATTGTCAAAGTATCGCTATGATTAAAAAACACGAATACAACATGGGTATAGGTAATTTGTTAATGATTCAAAAATAACCAATTCTATATTACAGTTGCCTATTACATAAAAAAAAAACAAAAACGGTCTTCTGTTATTCACGCTGAATTCATTAGGGCTATTTCTCAATGTAGGTAGGTACGCGATACCGCGATCTACCCGGAAAATACAATAATATGTATTCGTTTTTATTTTCGATTGTCAAGATGTTAATAATCGTGTTGATGATGAGTTTACGAATAGAAAAAAAAATTAAAAAAATAGTTTTTGGACCCGTAGATTGGAAAACACCGGACTACAATAATAGCACGATCGACATGAAACACAATACAAATATATTATCTGTGATGCCAACAATAATGTCCTACATTTACTTGGGCATACCTTAAAAATCCTATAGCGCATAAGTGTATTGGGCGCCTGTATTGCTTATTGCTATGCACCGCGACGACATTGTAACGACACAGTGTTTACCGTACCTATAACGTTAAAATTTTTTTTTTTTTTTTTGCATCATAATATTACGTGTAAGCACAACACCTTGTTAGGTATTTTCCTCGGTCCGTAACGAATCGCAACAGGCCCGAATACCGATTATGATGATAAATATGGCCCGTACGGTCGGTGCAAATAGCAAATCGTAAATTGATTCGGTTAGTATGGGTGCCTGCATATTTTTACGGTTAAAAAACGAGCCTGCGATGGACCCGGACCGAACACCGCAATAATGATTATCGCCTATTGTAACCGTAAGCGCAAATACAGGGTTTAGCTCTCCTCACAAAAACATCAATAGTCCCCCCCAAACTTGTTCTGCTATTTTCTTATTTTATCGAATACTTCTGTAAAGACAAAATATCGATTAATAAATATATAACAGCACGAGCGCGATACCGAAGTATTCATGAGCGTATAACGCATATTATTATAACATACAGTGGCGGATCCAAATGGGGGGAGGGGGCGATCGCACCTATCGCTCTCACGCACGTTGGCTTTCCTAAATATTTATTTGTTACTGTGAAAAAGATGTGTGGACTTTTTTGGAGTGCTAGAAACCCTCTATCACACTTCCTTCCCCCCCCCACAGTTGCGTCTTTGCCAGTGGGAAGCTCACGTTAACGTCTGATGGACCGAGTAAAAGATTAAGAGATAGAGCGATAAACTGGTAGAAAAACTGAAAATCGCGAGAAGCAAAAAAAAAAAAAAAGTACAGAAATGATAAAATAATTATAGTTTAAAACTATTCTAAACTTGAAATCTTGTCGAATATACGGTAGAAAACCGTACGTATTCGATAAAATACATGAATCGTTTTATAGTAGCTAATATTATCCGAAATATAATCGCAAACTCGTCGGTAAACGATTTTTCATCGGGTGCAATTTATTATGGTTTCCCCCTCCCCCGGCGCGTAAAGGATTTCAAATTTCCAATTGTTTGTATAAGACGGGTGACAGTCGGATTCGTGAAATCCGGACACATCCGCGTATTTTCGAAAAAACAACCGTACGGACATAATGCACCGCGTAACCCCCGGAGCGGACGGATAACAATAAAATATAATATTCGTATGCGCACCGTTTTATAACAAGGCGAATCATTAGGCACCAGTGGATTTCCAGTGAAACTACTCCAGTGATACACGCTCCCATGACGTTTTTGCCGAGCGCAAATACTGATAATAATGGAAAAAAAACACGTACCCATCTATCTGCGCGCGTTCGTAGGGAAAAACCATGACAATAAAAAGGAAAAAAACGTCGGACGGACGGACGGTGAAAAAACGTAAAACAATTTTCCGCGAGTCAAATCGTCGAATAATTGTATTTAGTGCTCAGTATATCACAATATCGTTAACTCGCCGGAACGCGACGTTATTACGATACGGGACGTGGCAATGGTATTTTTTAATTTTTTTTTTTTTTCGTGTTTATCATTATCGCAACAAAACCGTTACGGTTTCCCGGTATATAATGGATACCTACCTATGACGCGCGCGTGTGTAAAAATTTACCGTCCATATAGGAGTCTCGGAATTAGAAATTTATGCCATAATGATGAATAAAATAATAATCATAATATCCATTGTCGTACGGAGGCATTTATTATTATCGTCGTCGCATTCAGTAAATCTTTAATCCGGTAAAAAAAAAAAAAAAAATGATTATTACGAGACCGTAGTAGCGTTTTTCACAATGGAATAAACCTTTTTTTCGGGGGAAATTCGAAATAAACAAAAATAAAAAGTAGCGCCTAATTAACAATAAGTACGTCAACCGGTTTGACGGAAAAATAATCAATTTCCAACATTCGGTTTTCCTTTTCGATCGATACCTACTCAACTCTAGGTACATTCGTTAATTTTGAGAATAAATATCCTTTCTTATTACACAAATACAAATAATACAGGTTTAACTTTTACCAGCTAATAGATGTAGAGAGCACTTATACGATTGTATACATATCTTGAACGGAAAAAAAAATATAAAATTCTTTGTTATAAACTGTAAAATTATGACCAATACATTGGATATGCTTTCTGTAAGTGTGTTTTCCATTATTACATTGCAATCCATTAATAGGTGAATCTTTTCAGATTAATACCGCACTACTATTTTCTTTTTTTATTTTATCAATAAGGTAAAATATTACGTGACATCTAGTCTAAAATATTTCAATTTAAGTGAAACTAATCATTTTGTAGAATAAAAAATGAATAATAACATGAAAACAGAATCGGAAAAATTTTTAATCGAGCTATTGTTCACTAAAGAAAACACAAAATTAGTTTAAACGTATACCAATCACTATAAATAATAATGAGTACAGGAATAGAACAAAAAGTATTTCAATGTTTATTGTTAACGATTTTATAGAGAAACATACATTTCAGAGTTACTTTTTGATCAGATTTGCAGATCAGACAAAAAATAAAACATAGTAAAATATGTACTGAATCTAAAATCACATTACCATATTCTGAATTATTTATTTATTTATTAATGGACATAAGTCCAAATTCATTGACAAATTATATAATAATGATTATTAATTATTTGGCATGGCTAAACCGCTTAAATTACATTTATCAGGTATGTTGGGTATATTTATAATATTTAAATACATAATATTATGTATGTAGCAAAAGAAGTACCAGGCTACATAAATACATTAAGAATAAGAAAAATTGTAGGTATTTGTAAAAGTATATATATATATAGGTATATGATATGAATTTAAAACAAAATTTATCAAAAAATTGAATATTTAATTAAAAAAAAAAATGTATCACGCAATGGTTTTCAAAAATTATTAATCCGGTAGAAAAAGCGAATTCTTTTTATAAAAATAATATATGATTTTGACTGAAAATGGTTCAAATTGCATCATACAATTACAAAAAGATTATTAATAAATAGTTAAATAGTAGTAACTAATAAATAAATATAAAAATATAATTACTATAAATATTTGTATATAAAAAAATTTGGAAAAAAAAATATTCCAATACATTTTCAAAATACAAGTCTTTTTCATATTGCTGGAAGTTCAAACTTATAATATAAACTTATATAAATAATATAATTATCTTTTAAAATTAGATGTTTTAGAGCGATAAAACTATTAATATAATATTTATCAGATTTTGTTGAGCACAAATTGAGCATAATTAAGTAAGACCACAGTTAGATTACCGATAAATTATATAATCTGAATTCACGTGTGGACTAATCACAGATAATTAAATTCTTATGATAGTTTGATAATATTATTATACATTAATTATATTTGTAAATAAATGATCTATTTGCTTAAATTTTCTATGCAAAATCATTCTGTGTCAACACTAGTAAGCAGATAAAGTAACTAAAATTTTGTTTTCGTAGTATTGACTAGAATACAATTCTAAAACTTCAGAAACAGCAAAAAAGCAAAGCGTTTACAACTGACATTAAATACTAACTCATTCAAATAATAAAATAGTTTTATACTCTTAGTAGTCTATACATTATATAGTCATACAATTTCAGACAGAAAAAAATATTTATAAATAAATAATAATCGAAGTATAACCAAATGAACTAGTTTATCGGACTTTTATTAGATCTTATTTTCAATTTGATGAGAAATCTTAAGTTTATATTAGAAAACCAAATTTTTATAATAAAAGGTTACACATAAACAGATTTAATGCATGAATATATGCATATATATATATATATATAATATGTTTTACTATAATTTGTTATTGGTAAAAATTATAAAAATAATCAGTTAAAAAGCATAGTATTTTATTGTTATGTTATAACAATAATTTTATTAACTATATTTAACTTAAATAGTAATATTTATTATTTAATGTAGTTGTTAATTTTTAATTATTAATAATCTTTTATTTAAAAAATAAAAACATTCACAAAAAACTGTAAGTTCAGATCCGATAAATATATTTTATTCAAAATATAACGTTTAAATTGGTTTTCTGTTGAATTAGTATTAATATTATTCATAAGCTCCATAGACAACATAATTAACTCAACACAATGCAAACTAAATAATTGCATAAAACTGCAACTTTGTTATAAATAAATTACAAACTTTTAGAATATACACTTTTTATTAGACAAATATAGAGTGAATACTAGGCATTAATAACTTAAAATCTTTGAAATATATCTGTCAGGTATGTGAAAATATATAAAAATATATTTATGTTTGTATGTAAATGAGATTCTTTTATAAATAAAAAGTGCAAGAAAAAATTTAATTTGTGCTATGCAAATTTTAACTGATGATAAAAATAAATGTTTTTAAGAACTTGAACAAAATATTATATATATAAAAAATAAATAAAATGAAAATATTACATATTAAAAATGTATTAAAAAGCAGTTTGTGCAAAGAAGTCATGTTAAATGTACAAAACTAATTAACACTTTACCAGCAATTAATTGAGGAACAATACTTTGAGCGGATGATACTTAGGAATAAAAGGTAAGTACAGAACTTTGATTTCCTCGCACTAAAAGGAATGGAGGCATACCTTGTGTTAATGTTTCTAGCCAGGACATATACAAAGATGCTGGCACTACATTTTTTCTGGGCATTGGTAAAGTCCTGAAAATAATACAATTACAACATACATCAATTAAAGATTTGGAAAATGTACTCATTCATAATATATTAATTTTTTTTTTTTTTTGTAAATGACATCAATTATTTTATAATACTCACATTACAATTAGATTAGCTTCTTGAGAATTTTCCAAAAGTAATTCTCTTAATCGAAGATGACGGTTAGTTTTTTCTTTCATTGCTGTTAACTCAGATTCTTTTATAACATCATCTAGAAAAATTAACACACATAACTAAAATATTCTTTTTAATTCATTAAGTGAAACACACTTTCATTATAGGGTCCTTTAGGTTTATAACTTTTAATTAATGCATCGTAAAAAGCTAATGTTTCTTCATGTGGTTTTCTCATTAGATCTGTAATCACCAACAAGTCTGAATAGTCAATACGAAATTTAGCTAAAAGACTAGCAACACTGAAAAAAGAAAAACACATAATTTAAAAATATAGTCAGCAATAATATAATTATAACAAGTTGCTTCACCTTCTCTGTTCAAATTCTAATTGATCCTTTTTATTAGCTATTGTAAATACTCTCAATTTACATGCTGACCAATTTCCTCTAGTACTTAAAATATATGGCAATAGCAATGTAAGACCTTTATTAAGCACATTTAATTATCCACACATTAAAATGTAGAAACAAAAACAATAGAAAAATATGTTATTTTACCTCCATCATCATATAACCACCACACATCAATTGTGCCTTTTTTCTGTTTACGTTGGAATCTAGTAATCAAATTCATGGTATCCTTGGGCAAATCATAACCATCAGTTCCTCTATATAACAGCAATTATTATTGAATACAAATATCAACTATGAAAAAGTTGTTCAACAAATTTACTTGACAATGTTGACTTTTTTATTTTTATTTGCATTTGGTTGATCAATTTTCTCATCAGTGCCTTGTTTGTTCAAAGTTATAGTTGATGTTTCTCTGTTTAGCAATTCATTTTCTTCATCACTTTCGTTGTCATCATTTTTATCAGCTTAAAAAGAAGTTAATATTAATCATTGCCAATGTAGATTGTTCTGATTACCAAGTTGATGTTAACAATATACATAGTGATTAAAAATGTATGATACAGTTATTAGATTCTCTGTTTAGCAAAAAACATATTGGTTTTATAATTTTTTTATTTTTTTTTTTTTTAATGTGAACAACAATTTTCCTACAAGCTTTCTTTGATTATCAAGTATAGTACCTTTTCTGAAAGGAAATTTTCTCTGGGTGAAGAGGTCATTTTTTGAAATTCTTGTTAATATTCAAGAAAATGAAGAAAATCTGGTTTTTTAGGTTAAAAAAAATTAAAAGATTAAAAATGAGGTTGTCATCACAACTGGTTTTGATTATTTTTTGTTATTAAGTTTTTATTATTTTATCTTTTATCTTTTTTAAACAATCATTGTTGTAATCATTTTACTATATCACATATATATTGTTGACAAAGCAACACTACCACTTAATTTCACTCAGAATCATTTTTTCATTAACAATGGTTTATTGTTAGTTACAGAAATACATTAAATTCTAATCTATATTCTACCTTCCCACCTACAATAGTGGTTGCAATCACATGCGAAGTATGTTCATAATTTTTTATCATGTAAATATTAAAAATAGAGAAAAATGTATAATACAATAGTCTTTTTACTTATAAGCATCTAAAATAATTTGTATTTTTTTTTTTTACCGAATTGATAATTCACTTATTAGTTTAGGTAAGGGAAGAGTATTCAAATGCTGCGTACTATGCAATGTTGTAATATATCTAGATACTTTTTTTGTATCCTGTATCTGTATTTTAGATACAATTCTCACTTTTTTAGTTCAACAAAATACAAAAATAAAATTCAAACATCTAATATTTTAAATAAAAATATCAATAATAAATTGTTGATATGTATTATTTTTTGATTTCTTTATTATTATAAATTATTTTGTAACCTAACCAATATTTTAATATTATTATAACTGACAATGATTGTATTATAACAAATAACTATATAAGAATAAAATTATATTTGAAAACTGACATAAAAATGTAGATACAAATTATTGTATCATAAATTATGTACCTAATACTTGTTCTGTTATAATTTTGTAATTCTATATTTTTGATGAATTATTTATAAAACAAATTATCTGTTTTCTTAAATGTATCTTAAGATAATTGTACCTATATTTAGACACTTTCAAATAAAACATATCTGTATCTAGATACTTTTTTAAATAAAGTATCTGTAGTAACCTACACTAAAAGGGAAATATTTTGTCAATGGGTTAATAGAAATCAAAAATTTCAACACAAACATTTATTTAAATTAAGATTCAAACTATTTATATAATTTTGAATAGATTTTCTTATTTTTATTTCAAATGTTGACCCCCCCCCCTTGATGAAATGAAAAAATGATGTACAAATCAATGTTTAGATGTTTATAAATCTAAAAATGTTTATACTATACATTTTTTCATTTAGAATATTTACATGATAAAATAGCTGTAACATAAATAACCCGTACAATAATATTATTAAAATATAATGTAATGAAATAATCAAGATTAAACACTTACCAACAGTAGACATAGACTGTGATCTACTATGTAGAAATGGTTCTTCCGAAAGATACGAAGCTTTACGATTTACCATCATATCTAGTTGAGTTTCATCAATCAGAATGGAATTAGAAAAATTTAAACCAGACTTGACACGTAATATACACACAGCCATATGAATATCTAATGCTTTGCTAAAATAATTAAAAACAAAAGTAAATTAATTAATAAAATTAATAAATAAGAAAATTAATTTTAAGTTCCAAAAATACAATTTCTTATGAACATACTGAAGCACATTGAAATACATATTTAAATCTTGAGTACTACATTTGTGCCAATTGTTCTTATAACCCAGCATAATAATGTTTGGCTTAAGTTTGCCTAAACCAACGGTTTGCATTAAACTTTTTGCTCCATCTTCAAAACTGGTGCCATCTATTTGTACATAAAATCCTTTGATTTTGTGGTAACACAACCAATTTATCGCACGCTTAGAATAAATTTCAAGTAACTTTTGTGAAGTTGGAGCCTACAAAAAAATAAATATAACTGAAATATGAGTTTACATAATTGAACATAGTTTTAGAATGATAAATCTTTCTTAGAATCATTTTTCAGGGAACTTAATATAAATCAAATTTTTCACATTCGGACATATACTGACAACAAATTAAACAAGCATGGTTAGAGACTATCTTCACAGTATTTAAAACAATATTTTTAAAAAACTAAAAAGCCATGCAAATAATTCTGTTGAAATTATATTTCTTATAAAATAACCCGGGCTCACATCTGTATCATTTGCAAATTATTATAATGGAATACAGATGGAAAAAAAGATGGATAATGGGTGGGCCACTGTTGTAAGTCATTAGTTGGGAAGGTAGGATAATGAGGTGACTTTAATTTATATCTGTACGCAACAATAAACCGTTGATAATGAAAGATGATTCAGATCAAAGATTATTTCAGACATGTATACTGTCCTCGTAAGTAAATACACCGTAAGTCATTAGACAATGTTTTTAAAAAAAGCTGGTTTTTATATTTTGGATTTTTAAAATTTATAAAACCTCTTACATTGTACTTCATACTTACTATCATACAAGTATGATATGGATTTTCATATGGTATTTTACCTGATAAATGCAATGTAATAAAAATAAATATATTTTGAAGTACTTACTTAATTTTTTAATCCTTAGTATAATTGGTATATAAAACTGTACTGAATAGACTTATGAATAGAATCCATTGGTAATCGTATAAATAACTAACAAATAACTGATATTATATAATTTGTAAAGTTTCTTTATTATTATATTATATTAATAACTTTTACTATATTTTGATGATTTATTGGTTACAATATTAGGATAAGTAAAATGACAATCTGTACTAAGTACAAATGCTGCAAATTATTATTTTTATTACATACCTACTAAGCAAAAATGCCGTATCTTCATTGATACATATGGCGTTTTTGCTTAGCATGGTTATTATATGGCAAAAATGCATTTTTCGACCATTTACTACATTTTGTTAAAATCAATATTGCCCAATAGTTGTTTTATAGAATATTATTTCAAAGATACGATATATTGACCTAAAACATCTAAATTTTATGATTTTTTAATGTACATAAATCATTTTTAAATTTTTTTGGACTTGCGGCATTTTGCTTAGGAGGGCAGTATATACAATACATTTTTCAGTTTTTTATCAATTATTATAAAAACTTCTTGGAAAATCAAAAAATGACCTCCCTAAAGTACCAAGTAGATAAAATTTCTTTTTAGAAAAAGAACTACACTCAATACATCGAAGCAAGATTCTTGGTACAGAAGTTACGCAAAAAAATAAATATAAACATAATTGTAGAACCAATAGATTCCTCACTACGCTCAAATCTTAAATAGCAGTAAACATACATGGCATTTATAAAGCTAGATTAGGGTAAAATTAAGCATCAAGGATTCCAAATGTATAATTATTTTGCATGTATAAAGCATTTTAGATTTTTGCTAATATTTATTAAGTACGTTTTATTTTGTGTTTTTCATAAATCTCATTTAAATTTAATGAAAATAGTAGAAAGAAGTTGTCATTTATGTGAATTTATAAGAAAATTACCCACATATCTGTTTCATTAAATGATATTTTATATTATTAAGATTAACTGAAAGTAACATGGCTTAATGATCTTTTGGTTAATTGAATGTAAGATTAATACAAAATATTAAATAATTTAAATAATTTTAGTACTTTTTAATTCTATAAAATCTGAATAATGATAATAACTACCTCATAAGATTTATTAAAATTGCATAAATTATAGTATCTTGAAATCAATAACCCCATTTTTTGTTTTTATATATATAATACATACTTAACAAAAACATACTTTGATAATATTTGCACAAACTAGTAATGACAAATTCTTTGTGATGAGATGTGCAAAATCAATCAATGATGGTCTAGCAGATGCCATTCCTGTAAGTACAAGTAGCTGAGGTCTAAAATTTTTGACATGATCTTCAACTCTGATAAGGTTATGCACAGCCATTAAGGCTTGTTTGTAAGTTTGTGCTTGAGTACTTGTACCCCAATTTACATCTGTAAAAATAATGAATTCTTTAGAAACTCAGCATTTAAAACTTAAATAAATTCATTATATAATTTACCTGGCTTTTGATATAATACAATTAAATATAGGGCCAATATAGCAGCTAAAGTCAATAAAGCTGTCCACCAACTGATAACAAACATCAACACTACGCATAACATTGAACCTCCTAAACTTAGCCACATGTTATACAACTGGAATTAGAATTAAAATGTTTCCAATTAATAGTTAAATTTAAATTAAGTTTAAATAAAATTCACAATTTATACATTAAAAACATGAATATAATATTTTGCATACATAATGTAATGATTTAATTTTAGTTTATATACCTTAAAAGTAGGACGCCATCCAATAGGCTTAACCAAAGATGCATGAAAAGTACTGAAATTAATTAATGCATAGACACTAAGGAATATATTTGATATTGACGGTAATATTGCATTTAAGTCGCCTATAAATTAACCAAATTCATTAATATCAATAACATCTAAACATGTATATGAGTTCTATAGTATCTAATACCGGGCAGAATAAACAGCAAGACAATTATTGTTGTCAAAATGTCAGCTCTTATTGGTTCTCCTGATTTATTACTTAATCCAAACCATGAAAGATTATTGTATAATCTATCATTACATAACATTTGAAATACTTTTGGAGCAGCCAAAAATGAAGAAAATGAAGCCGCTAATGTTGAAGCTAAAATGCAAGCATATACTAACGGACTAAAGAATGCCATAAGACCAATAATTCGATTGACAGCCTATAAAAATTATTTAATCAAAATAAATAATTTAAATTCAAAAACAGTACATTTAAATATACTTACATAATTCTTATTAGGGGCATCACAGCTCAATATTGAAATTGATTTATTAGGAATTTCTTGATATATAAATGTAGAACCAACTAAAATGGCTAAACTAATGTAAACAGAAGAAGAAATAAATATAGATGTTAGGGACCCTCTTGGAATTGCTCTTAGTGAATCCTAGAATGCAAATAAATGTTTTATCATTATTACATTATTGACATTTATTTATATACAATGACTGAACTATAATACTCTATTGGCAAATCACAATATTGTTTACATAAATTATTTGGTAAAATTTATATCTTATGATTAACTAATTTACTACACAAAATATTTAATAATCCTTACTTTTAAACAAAGTAAATTTAAAAAATATGTGCTGCTATACATACAATTTGTACTTTAGATTTCTTGTATATAGTTAAAGGGATTGATGACAGTTTTCTACATTATTTTTCTAATCTTTTAAAATTTAAAATTTATTTACACTTTAATGACCACCATGATATAACTTTTTCACTAATCTATTGCCTAATGCTCATTTAAGAGAAGGGTTATACAGCTGTTTTAACAGACGAATAGTTTTAGACCAAAATACCAGACAAAACTGTAGGAATTACATTTGACCTATAATCATATAACATTATGACCGTTTTGAAAATTGGAATCCTTCAAATACAACACCTACAGTTTTTATTCATATATTTAGGTCTAAATCAAATAAAATATATAGTCACCAATCTCCTTAAATTAACATATACTAAAATTACTTTTAATTCGCCTGATTTATTTGTTCCAGCTAAGAATCCAGACACTGCAGGGAAAAATATACCAAAACCACACCAAAAGCTTTTGCTCCAATCATCAAAAGATTCAAAATTTTTAAACATATTTTGATGGATTGCATCCCCTAATAAAATAAAGGTATAAATTTGATTTTTTATTAAAACGACACCGATTATACAATATTAATTAGAAAAATTGAATTACTTTACTTACAACTAAATCCAACGAAACCTTGTTTTTTTTCATAATCATTTTTCGGTCCATATATAGCTCCTATGAATACATCCACAAAAGCTGCAACCATAAGAACTAGAACTGCAGCATGAATCTAAATTTGTTTAATAATAGTTAAAACTAATAACTATACATAATATGAAAAGTAAATTTTGTCTTAACTAACCTGAATTCGTGACCGAATGCCACCTAATGTTGCGCATAACAATGTTGCTGTTAAACCCATTCCAAGAAGTCTCATGTCTTGTACACCACCATCCAATATAGACCAACTATTCGAGTTCAATAGAATCTGTACCATTTCACAAAAACCTACCGCGTGCATTGCACAAGCTGCAGCCAATGCTATAGAGTATATTACTCCAATGCAAGCACCAAATTCTGGTCCAAGAGAACGAGAGATCATAAAATAAGTTCCGCCTTCTTTCAAAACGCCATTTGTACTGATTGCTGACATAGATAACGCAGTTATTGTTGTTATAGCACCACCAAATAATATTATAACAATTCCTGAAACTAATATTACATTTATTTAACAAAGAGAAATAGATGTTAACCAAAAAATATATATTAGTAATACCTAAACCAGTAGTACAAACAACCCATGCTACTCTTAAAAATAACATAAGACCGCATATTTGCACTAAATTACGAATAAGAACTCCTTGAATCCATCCTTGTTCGTGTTTTTTTTTCGCTGGTCGACTATGTTCATTTTCTTGAATTTCCACATTCTATAGTAATCGATAATAGTAAAATAATGACAAATTGTTTTTACTTTTATTCAAAAAATAACCCTGCCTTTTCAGCCAAATCACAATTATGTAGTTCATCTAGAGTAGGTCGACATGCAACATGCACTGACATGATATTCCTGTAGTTATCCAACCTTGGTAATGCTTCACGTGTCAATTGGCGAAAACTTTTATATTTGTCATCAGAAGCACTGTCTAATCTCACCCTCGGCGGATTGTCATTATCCACTAAGTTAACTTGAAATCTAGTACGTTTCGAATCTGAAACGACGCTTTTCAATTCTACATCATTCGTTTCGGTGTCCATTGTATCTAAAAAATATATAAATATGTAACCATATATTAATGCTGTAATAAGCTAAAATAATAATTTAACATGTCAATAATAATATAAAACTTAAAAAATATCAAATATATTGTACTTATTATTTTATCTATTGCCTCAGACTTAAACTAAATGAGTAAGAAATGACATAAAACAATTAAAATCATAAATACTTACTTTTTAAAATATTTTGTTCAGATTAATTTAATTCATCATTGGCAAAATATGTATTTTACTTAAAATTCTTTATGAAACTGCGTAATCTCACAAGCGATTTTTAAACTAAATTCTCTACAAATTTTAACATATAGACATTATAGGGGTACAATAACCAAATCATTCAGTAAAATTGAAATGGTAAATTACTAGGTACTGTAAAATATCAAATAAATATTAAGGAATTAAAAGCATTTACACTCTTTAATAGTTGAATTTACCATTTTAATTGAGGCTACAAGCTAACAAGATGAAACTACTGTACTGTTTGGATAATGTAACCCAAGGACTAGAGAAGATAAAAAAAATTACCAGATTGTGTGTAGACGAGAGATGTAGTTCTAGTTAGCCAGCCAAAGTCGTCGTCGAGTTTTGTTATGTATTCTTAATTATTATTTGGCAGTCGTAACATTGTAAAAGTATTCTGTTCTAAGATCGTCACGACGGACGCAACGCGCACGTGCTGGACCGGTCGAATCAGTCGGTCGCTGACCACATTAATGGTACAACCGACACATTTCTGCGATAGTACACAAACACAACTATACCATGGACACTGGGACACTATTATGTTTTTCTATTACCCAAAGTCCCGAAGAACAGGCTGCAAACTATAGCCTATCGGTCGCATTGCGTTATCAAATATTAACGTTCATAAACGCCATATAGGTTAGAATCACGGTGAGATAACGAAAATCAGCATGGAAGAAATTTACCCGCCATCCAATTTAAATGTGCCATGTCGAGACGGTCACCGCATGATAACTCAACACGTAGTGATAACAGACTTTGTTGACAACTGACAAGACGAGACGAGAGCTTCTGGCGGTGATTACAACCAATTTCCGGTAGTTTTCAAACAAGTTGTACGTATTATTTTCCAGTAAAACATGGGATTTTCTTTGTGGACTCTGCTGGAGGCTTCGTTACTATGCCTGAACGCCATATGCATACTGAGCGAAGAAAGAGTACTGGCTAAGTGTACGTAAAACTTTTTTATAATTTACCTTCAATAATTAATTTTATCAATTCTATAATATTAATATTATTTTTATTATTATATTGTATGTGTACTTGACCCGTATAACTTTTCGGTTTTCAGATGGGTGGTCTAATGTAAATAATGATTTTCAAGACATTCCGACTACGAAAACACAAATAGTGTCTCTAATGCAGTCTATCCGAACAGTTGTTAAATGTAAGTCTTATTAATTATAATATTTTCTTTGTCTATGCATTTTGTTCAATTATTTAGCGCCTAGAACAGAGTTTTTCAACCTGAGGATCATGTCACAAAGAACTTGTGAGTGATAGTTAAGGGGACCGCCAAAAACCAGTAAAAAAAAGTATCATTTATGCTGTATATCATATTTTTTCAAGTTTTATTAAACAATTGTTAAACGTCTTACAAGAAAAAAAAATAAGGGGTCGTGATAACTAAAAAGTTGAAAATCACTGGTCTAGAAATTGGGGATTACAAAAAATCTTCTTCAGGTGATAGCTATATTCCAAGATGCAAGTACAAAATATTATATCAATTGATATTTATTATCCTGTGATGGTATTAATTCATTCTTTAAAATAAATTGATGTCATTTTTTAAAAAAGGAACATGTCTGTAGGCATGAGATTTTATACAATTGTATTCTAAAAATTACAAAGTATTAAATAAGGAATTATCTATGTTAAAAAAAAAAATAATAATAATGTACAATCTATATTTATATAAATGATTATTTGATATGTGTAAACATATATTTTTATTAATAGTAATGAATATTATAACTTCAGTAAGTTAACAGAATCAATATCATATTCATGTAATAACTTAACTTATTAATCAAATAATTGTATTTTTCGTTAAATTATGTTTTTGAAAAACTGATTATTATGTCCCTTATTGTTAGCTATTATAGGTCAATATTATTTTCATTTTAGATTTAATTTTTTATTAATTCAATCAACATTTTTAAACATTTCAGTCAACTTAAAATGTCTTTAAAAAATTAGGTTTGATAACATTTATTGATTTAAAATGCTCTAAATTTGTAACAAGAATATTACTTTTATCTTAATATTATTTTATACATTCAGTATCGAAATAGAAACATTTTATTTTAATCAATCAAATTAGGTTGGTTTCAGCATGCTATCTAAAAACTAAAATGTGATTTGAAAAAATCTTGGAAGAATTAATGAAGAACATTTTCTGTTACCTAATACTTGTATTAGTATAATGAAAACGTATAATGGTTTTTTTTTTTTTTTTTGTCACATTTATTATGTTTTTAGAAACTGTGTTCAAAACTTTTATAAAAGCTCAATACTCGATATAATTTTACTGGTTGGAAGTTAAGTACGAATGGCCAACATAACTCAATACAGTACTGACTACTTGATTGCCGGTTTAAATTCATATAACCCATATCAATTGTGTACATAGATAAATTTCTGTATTGATTATCGTATTATTTATTTATTTCTTTGAATCCTTTCACTCCCAAAAAATACTAGGTGTGGTTAATTGTACCTAATATTAGTAGGTATGCTTTTTTCATTTTTTTATGAACCAACCTAATATCTTATCACACGGAGAGATTATGAAACAATTTAAGAAAAATAAATAATTTGAGAATGAGTGATGAAAAAAAAAAAATTGTAATCTTATGTTAATAAATATTATATTGTAAATACCTAGTACCTACATAAACAAAAATTGATTGATGTGGGAGAGGGGCGATCGCCCCATTGAAAATACTACGCTGATATTGTTTTAAGCTAAAAATAATTTTACGCATATTATATATATAATTTTACGGCAATTTTGTTTATCGAAAACAATTTAAAGACTCGATATCGAATTTTAATAAAAAAATTTCACGTCCGTTTCTAAAAAAACAAAAATATGCCTGTACATATTAATATTATACTCGCTCGTAATTCGGTAATAAAACGTGTTGTTTGGAAAATTATGACGTCGGAATTTTTACGAACGGTGCGGCGGTCGTTTACTCTCTGTAGATAATAATATTCGGAATAATAAAAAATAATAAAAACGCGTCCAAATTCCTATCTCTTACGATGACGTTACCGATTTATACGCTGAAAACTCGGTCGCCACGTCTCGGGACAAGTCTCGGGACCGTGTTTGATAATATTTTCGTCGGGCTTTTCGTAACGTAAGGCGAATGAGACCCAATGTACACCAAAAGAACAAAATTATATTAGTAAAAATAAAAATAGTATTCGTTACCTAATTATTATGACTAAAGAAAAATGTAAACACTTCAGACAGTATTACTCATGACCAGGGTTCGGGGCTTATAATCATCAAAATAAGCGCTGAAACAAGCACTTAAATACTTCATTATAAACACTCAAATCAGCACTTAAAAATATAAAAGTAATCCAAAAATAAAAATGACGGACATTCTTCGCACGTGGGTGCAGCTACTTTTATAGAGGGGAAATTGGGAAGGTAGGATACGGACGGGAATTTAATGTATATCTGTTAGCAACGATTAACGAAAAAACTATTCTGAGCATCGAATGAAATTCAGTTGCTTTGTCAACATTATCAACTGAACTCCGCTCAGAATCGTGTTTTCGTTAGCATCGTTACTTACAGATATACATTAAATTTCTCTCTACTGCCTTCCCAACTACTCACCTATAACAGTGGCTGCACCCACGTAAAAAGTGGCCCTGCCCTTTTTTTTTTTTTTTTTTATCAAAGTGATAAAAAAAAATATTATCTATATATGGTTGTTAAATGATTCGAAAAACATTTTTTTCAGGTGCATCAAAATTAAAATGAATATTAATAATAATTTAAAATTACAATATAGATTAATATTTTTTTCTAACAATTTACAAAATATACTAAATATTCTCCAATGTGAAAAACAAAACTTTCTGTGAACTCAGTGTTGAACAAATCGTCCAAATTTTTTACTATCATAAGACTGTATATTATACACTCAGTAACAATATGTGAAAAACTAAAACCCCTAGTTTGGCAATCAAAAACTCCGCGAAAAAACGTGTAGGAATCACTGCGGCCGGAGAATTTCGAATCTAAAAAGACCATTTTTTTCTTTTTTTATCGCCGACTGTACCGAAATATCCTTTCACGACTCAACAGTTATTGGTGAGCCTCAATAACAACTACAATCTCTTGCCGATCAATTATAATTCCCATTTTCTCCAGGTCCAACACGCTAGGTTACTGGGTCACCCACTCGGCCTTTTGTCGGCTTTTGGTTTTCGTTCTATATACAGCTATTCTGATCATTCTAAATGTACAGACGCGAATTCCTGAAAACCCATATGTTCACGTTTTTACCTCAGCATTACAGTTATCCTGTAAAATAACTGCGCAGTAAATGTTTTTAATTCCCGATTTAATCGCATTCTGTTTGCATATATAGGTAGCTAAAATGTCTTTCTCTTATTCTGCTGTAGACTTTCAATCTTTCGATTGGCCGGCAGAGGTTCACCGTGACGCTTCTCTGTCAAAACTCGAATAACTCGATAACTTTTCGTGATTTCCGCATCATCGAGAACTCGTGGTTTATACATACAGGGTGTTTTTTTTTATCATGAACCAGCGATTATCTTAGAGGATTTTAAGTGAACCATTTTTAATTTTTTACCTCTTATCCATATACCTTAAATAAGTGCATACTTTTGATTTTCAAATAGAACCCCCCCCCCCCTTATTTTGAACACAGATTTGAATAGAAAATATTTTTCTTGAAGTTTTGATATGCATAACACTAATATCAGAATAACCATTTATGAGTTATAATAATTTAAAATTTAGACCAGAAGAGTAGAGAAGTATAATAAATTGCCTATATATGACTGTGTTCAAAAGAGGCGGATTCCTATTGGAAAATCAAAGGTGTGTACTTTTTTAAGGTATATGGAGTAGGGGTAAAAAATTAAAAATGGTTTTAAAACAAAGTTTAAACGATTCCATAATAGTTGGAAAAAACCGAAATCAAATTCACTTAAAATCCTCTGTGATAATTGTTGGTTCATGATAAAAAAAAATCACTCTGTATATATATTCTTTCTTCGACTTTTCTCTTCCGATTTTACCTTTTATACGTTACTCTCGATGTTTAACCGCTGCTGGGGCGCGGAACAATTTTAACGAACATCCATACTCGTTTCCTGAAAAATAAAAAATCCACGAGTGGATAGATCAAACCTCTTCCTTAACTTTTGGATTGAGAGATTATTTCCTATTATGAAAGATAATATTTTGTTATGATATGTACGGATTCAGTCGTTTACCATTTTGTTTTCTATAGCGCGGACATCACACAGTTAGCAAACTCGTGTTCTATACTGACGGGCGTCCAATGGACTTAACACGTGTATCAATTTTGGCATGAAAAACTTTATTAAAAGAAAAAAATCCCTTCTACGGGGTGTGCGCAGCAGAATATAATAAGAAGAAAAAAAGATAATTTTGATGTTGTGGCGTCGTTCCGATAGTTCGTTGACCCCGCTCGATCCGCTATTGCCTATATAGGATAATAATAAATAAAAAGTTATTTGTCCTCTTTGTAGACTTACCGTAATTTTTAATTTTTTTTTTTTTTTTAATTAACTTCTCATAGTGTCGGCGTATAACCGTGTCAGACGCGTAATAGGTCTTCGTTAAATATGTATAGAAGATATATATTTATTTTTTTTTTTATGTAACACATATTTAGACATTTTATCTTCGCAATAACATTTAGAAAAAAAACACACACACACACCTATATACGTAGTTATACGTCGTATGATGTGCGTTAGTTACTGTTGATGGTTGTTGTATAGGTTGGTTTGATGAAACGACCGTCTCGAATTGGGTCATCGTGTAAAATCGAGTCTTAAGAAAATATTAACGCTCATATTATTCACGATTATATATTATTATAATATTATTATATTATTATATATTGTTACATATTATATTCGCGTATATTATATAGTTTACAATTCTGTGAATGTTCTCATTATATTATATGCTCTTTGCGGGTCATAGATGCGTCGTATACAGACGTAACCGTACGTACGTACGTACGTTCGTTCGTTCGTTCGTTCGTTGCATAATCGATATTATGCTTAATATTTCCGTGACTATTTCCATAGTTTCAGATACGATTAAAAGAAATCACTTTCGTTTCGACCTGGGCGTTTTACCCTCGAGTCGAATAATTCCGTACCACCGCAAAAAAATGAAAAAAAAAAAAAAAACGCGTTGAAAAATATCACGACTAAGAGCGTCGTCAGCGTCGAAGCGCCAAAATGAGATAAGGAAAAAAAAAAAAAAGGTATCGTACGAAAGAGCCGAAATCCTGTGTGCCACGGTAAATAGATACAGTATTATGTGTAATAGATGCATCCATTAACTGTGTGCCTGTGTGATATTAAACTTGGAACTATATCGTTCAAAAACTCGCAAACGTTTAAACTTAATCGACAAATGCGTTGTCTTGTATTACGGTAGCAGTTTATTTACGATGCGTATGTATGGACGATTTTATAATGACATTTTCATGTTCAATTTTTCATTTTCAAGCGTTTTGCGCTTGTCATGTAGCCGGGATCGTAATGTACGTATGTTCCCTTGGTGGGTCATTTACTTTAGAGTTTGGTTCATTGATTTGTTGTCGAAATTCTTTATATCTTATTACCAATGTTCAATAAAAGTTCTTTAATTCGGTTGTTTTCCGTTTGAAATGTGCCTATTTTTCGGAGACTTTCACATTTGTACAACGGACGTAATATTAATATTCGGTCAAAGGTAATTTACTAATGTATTTTGTACATTTTCCGTTTTTCACGATTTTTCCTATTTATTAAGAAAACTCCTGGGAAAACCAAAAAACGATCTCCCCGAATTACCATGGAGATAAAATTTCCTTTCAGAAAATAAGCTACACTTGATACATCTGAGCAAAATTTTTGGTAGAAAAGTTCGCACAACAAATCGAGGGGTATTTTGCGATTGAAATAGTCCGAGCGAGCGATGGCTTGGGTCCCTAGATACACCCAAAATGCATGTGTTTTCCATGTTTAGGTAAAAGGGAAAAAATGCATACAATTTTTTTTTGAAACACGGAACCCTAGGATGATAATAGGCATAAATTACCATTAGATAATCACGACAAATATGTTTTAAGAAGGACAATATAAAGTTATTTAACATAATATAAAATATCAGAACTTCAAAAAGCTATAATTTCGAAACTTAGTCAGTCCGCTCAGTTCTGGCTTTACCAACATTCATAATTCGGCATTATACATATGTTCAAAAAAAAAAAATTGAAAAATTAAATTTGATCCACATCATTTTTTACTCGACGATTTTCGTCGAAATTTTATATTAAAATTTCTTTTAAAAAAAAAATACTACATTAAATTCAAATTTTCTTTTTTTGACCACAAAGTAAGATTCTTAATAAACCTCCTGTTAAATTCTCAAGCATTTTTGTTTGATCTAACAATTTTATTCATAGAGTACCTACCGAATAAATATTATGTAAAAACCTGCAAAATTAAAATGTCTATAAATAGCTCAAAAATGGCTTAAATATTTTGAAAATTTTACCACATCTAGAAAAGGCAAATATAAGTTTTCTGTTCAAATTTTAAGTCGATTTTTAACTGAATTGCAACAAATAACAAAATTGAAAAATAAAAAAGCATTATTTTTGAAAATTTCCCATTTTTCTTACGTTTTATCCTGGTTTTTCCCAGATATTATGAAAACCGCTTGAAAAATCAAAAAATACCCTCCCAAAAGTACCACGTAAACGATATTTCTTTTCAAATATGGTGGCACGCGTAGATAGCTAAGCAAGATTTCTGGTAGAATTTTTGTACACAGTATAAAAAAAAAAAAAACCAATACATTCTTCGCTACACTCAGAATCTAAAAGGCAAAATAAAATTTTGCTGTTTATTCCAAATCGAATTTATAGCTAACGTAGCTTTGTATTAGACCAATAGAAATATTTATCATTAGCGCATCGCAAGCGTTTTTTTTTTTTTTGGAACCAAATTTTTAAAAAGCCTACTGATAAGCGATGTTGATTCTCCGTCTTCACTTTCCTTAATTAACTGTAATGTTCCACAACGATCCACTCGTTTACCTTCTACGCTCCACATACCTTTAAGTACCGCCAACTTCACGAGAAATGAACCAATAAGACGTTTGATGTCTCATGCACATGTAGGCCCAATGTTTAGTTGTTATTATGTTTTTCGTATTTATGTTATCTGGTTTGTATACTATAATATAATGTTACTTAATTTGTATTAAAGGCAAGGACGCCCGCAGAAATATTTCCCAATAAGGGGAGGGGGGGGCAACAAAACACATTTTATTTTTACCAAAGATTCTGTAAACACACACGGAATAAGAATTTTAAATATCAAACTAGGCTTTGTGATATAATCAAAGATAATAAACGTAATACAAAAATTGTGTGTTTATTAAAAAATAAATCGTAAATCGTCGTCCCGTAATTGAATGTTCGTGTATAACGTATATTATATAAACCGAGGGGGGGGGGGCACGACCCCATCGACCCACCCCTTGCGGGTGCCCTTGACTAAAGGACAGTCCGTATATTTTTTGACAGATAAAATGTGATCGTGTTATCTATATTTTCAAACCGATTTCTTTATTATTTATATCCGCATTTTTTAAAACCTGGGTTTTTTTTGTGTTTCAGATCCGCTGATAATTTTCAACGTGCTGGTCATACTCGTCAAGAGTCTCACGGGATGACGAGATGAACAGGCGTCGGCGGTGTTTCCCGCGAGATATTTATTTGTTTGTTTTTTATTGTATACATTTGTTTCGTTTTTTTTTTCTTTTTTTTTTTCTCAAATTTAATCGTCCATAATAATGGCAATACCCAATATGTGTATATTCGCGTGTACGTATATGTAAGAGAGAAGCGCAATAAACGAATATTTCTCTGACGTGTTTAAATTGCGTATTGGTTTTTGGCTCGGGGTTTGGCGGGAAATCGTCTTGTACGTTATCATTTATTTATTTTTACGCAACGAATTATTATTGTGTTATTATTATTATTAAATAACATATTTTCGCGCGGTACATATTCGTCACTACATAATCGCTGTACATTATACTATCCATAATATAATATTACAGTAAGTACCTGTACCATTATCGGCTGTAATGATAACAATATAATAATGTAATAATTGTAATTATTATGCACGTGTTCGCGTCGAACGACGCAGATTGGTCATTATTAACGATTGGAAACGCTGCTAAAACCGCGTGTGGCAATCCGCCTAATATATTATACACACCTCTGTAATACGGCCGCCTAATTTAAAAAGAAAAAAAAAAACTGTTAATTCTCGTACCCTCCGGTCTGCGCGCGAATAGAGGTACACTCCGGTATTGGAGGTATATTAACCTCGGTCAACAGAGATACCTCGGTTACTGCTGTCTACGGGATATCCCGCGAGCGGCCGATTACGATTTTTTTTTGTTAATAAAAACCGATATTAACCTAATGCTATGGTGTTTTTTTTTTTTTTTTCCACAACGTATTATTTCCCAATGACCCTATCTGCTCGCCGCGACCTTGGCCACGATTCACGTAATGACGACAATCGAATTGATATTTTCGCGTTATGCCGCACCGCAACCGCGACAACATAATATCGTACGAATACAATATAATATCGTACGTATCTACAGGGAAACGATGGTCCGGTTCGGGTCTTTCGGGGTTGCGCAACGCACTCGGGAACGTGTTTATGCGCGCGGCGTAACCCAGTTTCGACGGGTCCGCGAAGACCGCGACCGGAGACGCGGTCACCGCGGTATCGTCGTTACGGTTACCGGCGTTACCGGCGACCCGCGCCGTATATACGTGCGTATTACATAGACACTCGCCGTGGATATCGAACCGTTTCCGTAACACGCTGTTTTATATACGCGTTCGGCGTAGAGGGAACACGTACGAAATATTATTGCACGTATATAATTATTTTATAAACTTTTGCGTTGTGGCGCGAATCTCGAGAGCCGATTTCGACAGACCTGCGCCGTTGGCGTTTCCGTCACCTGAAAATTCGGGGGGGGGAGGGGCTGCGTCTCGTCAAAATAGCCGGTTCTGAAGATTTTCGCCGGCGCATAACGTAAAATATAAGAAGTGTTATGTGCAAGAACTATGCGAGTAAACGCGAGTGAGAATAGGGGTTGTTCCGCCGGTTACGGGGTCAGTGCGAATGGGCATGTAGATACGTACACAAGCGAAGTCCCGTGGTGCTAATTATAAATAAAAACGACAGTATGTTTTTTTTTTTTTTATAAAAAAATAGTATTATTTTTTTTTTTTGGCCATTGTTTATACATATATATATATAACAAATATTAGCCTATATGTACTATTAAGTATAATATTCTATAAGTATGCGTAGTTATGGCTAGATTTTTGACTATACACGAGTCGTAACAAGATTATATTACAAAAAAAAAAATTACATATAAGTATATATTTAAAAAACGAAAAAAAAAATAGCTCTTCTCACGTAGTCCCGAGTCGGTTCGACGTTCCTGTGTGACTTGATGTACCCTGTATACGATGTAGGGATCTGTTATTGTGATGCGATGTTCGAGCATCTAGTCTTATTGTCATCGCGGAACGGGCGTGAAGAAGAGCGGAGGAGTCGGTTTGTTGTAGTTGTTGTTGTTGTTGATGCTTTATTTTGTTCGCGACAAGACCGATTAGTAAGACGAAGAGGGCACTCCGTAAGAAGACGATGGCCTGGCGGGTGCGCCGTATGAGGACGACGGGCCGGAAGAGTAACCACCGGCGGACTGTTGGTATTGGGCAACTTGGATGGCGGGTTTCACTCCTTCGAGTTCGACTCCGACGACACGGCTCGAGTATCCCTGGGCTGGGGCGCCGTATGAAGACGACGGGGCACCGTATGATGAGGACGGGGCGCCGTAGGACGATGACGGGGCACCGTATGACGATGATGGGGCGCCGTACGACGAGGATGGGTATCCGCCAGCGGAAGACGATCCGGAGTTCTGGACTTCGTCTCTGAGCACGATCTGCTTGATCTGTTCGAGCAGTTGTCCGTCGACGTACTGGCCTTCGTATGTGGACGGTCCCGGGGCGACCGGCACGTAGCTACCGCCGGATGAGTATCCGCTGCCGCCGGAAGAGTAACCGCTGCCGCCGGACGAGTAACCGCTGCCGCCGGAAGAGTAGCCGCTGCCGCCGGATGAGTATCCGCTACCGCCAGACGAGTAACCGCCTCCTAAACCGCCGGACGAGTAACCACCGCCGCTGCCGCCGGACGAGTAACCACCACCGCTGCCGCCGGACGAGTAACCTCCGAAACCACCGGACGATGGGCGGCTGTAACCGCTTGGCGGCTCTGCGTTAACGATGGCGACGGCGGCAACAACGAAACACTACAACACGGTTGTAAACGATATAGTATATTGGTGAAGAAGCATTTTAAACAGGCGCGTGAAACTGTGTTTGGGGGGAGGGGACTGGGGGCTGAGGGGCAGTTTTCCCCTCTATAAACTATTCGGCCAAATCTATAATTTTTGTCACGCGGCAAATAATCAAATTACAGACAGCATTTTAATATAAAAACACAGTTGGTTTATGATAAAAAAAAAAAAAAAGGTTTATTTCTGTTTTAATTTGTCGGCCGATAGGCTGTCCGTTAGAAAATAGACTTCGCTACATTTCTAATGACGTTATAGGTATGAAATAATATTGCTTTTTGAGTCATTGCGGCGAACTGTGAAAACACGAATAAACTTCCCGAGGATAATATAATATTTGAATCCTGTTTGCGAGTGCCGGAGTATATTACACAGAGAGAAAGAGATGGTTGAGATCAGTGAAGATGGGTTTAAAATGATTATTACAATATCGACCGACGAGGGTCTCTGACGGGCAAGAAAAAGAAAACGTGAGTATACCGCGCGATTATAAATGGTTATCAGTGTTAAATAAAAACGATGCGTGTAACGGTGAAAGCTTCACGATGTCCGTGCCGTAGGGTCGACGTGTACAAAATATAAATCGTACGAACAAAAAAAAAAAAAAAAATCGACAAAAAAGAATTTATAAGATCTGAAGATAAATAGTTTTTTTTTCTCTCGACCGAAAAACGAATACGAACGAGTAAACATACAAATATATAAAACGAGAAACCGCGGGTATTAACGTTATTTTTCGTTTGATATACCTATCTGTGTACATACAATATTAATATTATCTCGTCGGTACGATATTTTCATACTATACGAACGAACGGGAAAAAACCGCGCAAGTGTATAAAATGGTACTTACCAACAAAAGACCGTTCATTTTGAGAGGAATTTGAAAATATTGACTATACGACAAAAATAAAAAATCGAATCACTGAATATTGTTCACTGGCTATTCACCGAACTTGCACCGAACTGTGTATGGATAGCTCCGTGTAATTGCTCGGCCGTTTTATATACAAACCACCACCCACCTGCAGGACGCCGGAGCGCCGTCGGTGTTTTGGTAGGGATTGTGAAAAAAAAATGAAAGGAACGAATATTAAGAAAAAAAAAAAAAAAACCTTCTTCGCAGATTCCCAGACCGGTAATTACATTATCCTAATAATAATAACGTGAAGTGATTGTATATACACGGGCTGGACAAATCGTAAGGAAAATAATAATTATTATGCGTACATATACCGATGAGGTGGCTATCGTAATACACCTAATATCGTATTGTTATTATACGGGCAACCGCGAGTTAAAAATCTCACAGTGTATAATATTATTCGCTTAAAACGCACCGCAGACTCTCCGTAACCCGTGCGGGCCGCAGTTATAATATCGGTTATATAATATTAAAAAAATAATAATAATAATAATAATAATAATAAAAAATAGGTATTCTAGTAAAATTGCACGCGGGTAGTCGTCTATGTGCCGTAGGAAACCGCGGTGTACGGATTTATTATGGTAAATCTCCGTCGTCGGTCCGCGTATAACGCTAGTATTTCTCGCGTAAAGGTGAGTTTTTTTTTTATCCGGCCTGAAATTTGCAACCCCCCGCGGACATACATTTTTCCGATTGGTTTTCGACGAACTATATATAATATATTAGTACATTAATACGCCGACACCGAATGTCTGTGCGGTTGTTTTTCACCCGTCTGTTTAAATAATCGACAAATAATAATGCGCCGGTTGTAATACAATAAACAAATATGCGGAATATTTGACACGACTGACAAGCGGTATAGCCTATCGAGAATGTTTTTTTTTTCTTTTTAAAACAATTTTCTAGTCTATAATATAGTAAATTTAACCGTATAAATAAATATCTAATTATTAGCACTACAAAATACGAAATTTTTATAAATTTAACGTATTTATTTATCTTTAATTTGTACTTTTTATCTGGTAAGTACATCGCGTCGCATAGTGTATCCTACGTGCTCGAGTCTGTAAAACACAATGAAATGCGTTTACTCCGACCAAATTGCTGAGACCTTTTAACGGACATCGGGAATAATATATGGTATTATCACTACACGATAGTGAAATATTCCGTTTTAGTAAATATTTCGTTAAAAACGTTTCTATTGTTTTGCTTTTTTCACAAGAAAAGCGACCGCAACACAATACAACTGTAGTAGCTACATTATAGGTACGTCGGGTTAGAAATGATTAGATAGGAGAGATTTTAGATTAATTTAGAATTCGAAAAATATAATATGCGTATATTTTATGATAATTTGTGTGGCTAACTGCGATCGAGAAATGAATGATATGCATACATATTTCTATTATTTAGTCATTTCAAAATTATCATCGCTAATAACCGAAAATATATATTCCGAAAAATATTAAGCCGACTAAAAGAAATTACTTTATACAATACCGTTTCGTACATTCGCTTTATTTATTAAATAGGATTTTCATTTATCGGACTTAAAAACCATTAAATATCGACTGCGAAATGTGCCCAGCAAAATATACTTGATATGCGTGTTTTTTTTTTTTTTTTTAATTTTAACAAAAAGATTCTAAGATAAAAAAAAAAAAATACAAAGACAAATAATAATTGGATTTTTTCAAACGATATCGTGGACGTGATATTTTTCGAAGAAAATAATCTTCTTTAAAAATGTATTTACAATATTTAGTTTGAATTACAATAGGCAATTATTGTTTACCAAAGACACTGGAAAAAAAGACTGCTGCAAGATCGAAGCGGCCGCCCGTTGGCAGCATCAAATATTAGCTGAATATGTTTTAAAGTGTACACTTGAAATTTTTAAAATAAAAAAGTCCGGATAATAAACAAAAAATATTTGTAAATTACGACCTTTTTTGTTAGAATACTTACCTAATGTTATAACATTTTTCTCTACGAATTAAAAACTAATACCGCGAAAAGAATCACAATATTATTTAATAGGCCTTACTATTACATAGTTATAATTAACTTTGATTTCAAGATAAAGACATTGTAATGACTTTCAAATTATGTTATTAACTATAACTAAAAACTGATACGGATAATAGACGGCGTTAAATTTCTTCATTAGTTAGTGATGGGTATATTTTGGTATGCTACGTACAGAAAAAAAAAAAAAACAAACATAAGTAACCTGAATTACGGCAGTTTTGCCTAATAAACAATTCTAAATAATTAATAGCGTACTTATTATGAATATACAAACAAGAATATCTCGGTGAAATAAAAATTTAATAGTTCCATTGCAAAGAAATTATGTATTTTACTTTGAAAAATATTATATTCATGAAAACGGAACTACCAAAAGTTACTAAACATAAAAATTCATTTTTCTCAAAATGGCACGAAGGAAACTTTCGGCATTCTTCCTTGGGATTTAGGACGGCAGTATATACCGAAATAATATTTAATTAAACGTTTATTGCATTTTAACTTTCCCGATTTTATAACAATTAATTATGAAAATATTTAAAATTATAATAGATTATTATTAAAAATACAGGCAACAATAATTAACGTAGTTTTTGACTAGATACTCTGAATGTAAAATATAATATGAAGGCAATTATTATAGAAAACTTGTCATTACACGCGATAAGGACGATGGTATAGGGATAGAGAACATGCCACGTCATGACTATAGAAAGTTATAGGAAATCCCGTAATAATTCCTAATTAATACTTAATGAGAATTTGGAGGAATACGCACGAATTACAAATAATTACATGTGTAACTATTAAAGATCAATATATTATTATAACGATAAATTTAATAGTCAGTGATGGGTGAATAGGTACTGCGTGGATTTTATTGCATCCAAAACGTATTATATTTACTTACTAAAAATTAAAATTCCAAGCTTTCTATATACGGAAAAATTATTTTTTTTTTTTATTAAATGTTTTCCGAAAGACATCAGCTAAAAATACAGAAAAATAATACATAATGTATTAAACTGATTATAATATTATATTGATATGAATATTGACCGGACTGCATATTAATATTAACAGCTGTTGGAAGTTATTCTTTTTTTTTATACATTTAGACCAATAAGCTGGAGTAAAACAAACATACTTCTAGACCTTCCAGTAGTTCAATTTCTGTGTTGATAAATTATTCGACTGCCTGCCTATACTTTTTTTCTTAGTTCGATAGGAAAAATATTTAAATTTGTTTGTTTTTCTGGAAAAACAAGTTTGTTTTGTGAAAAAAGGTAAACCTACTTTAGGTTCATAAATTCATTAAAAAAAAACAAAACAAAACGAAAAAATTGTTTCCTACGAAACACAGCCAAGAGACGAACGAATTAAATATGTTTTCAAAATTATATTTGGACGGGTGGCAGTGGGTGATTTTTACTCCAGCCATTATTTTAATCCGGCCATCGATGTGTATCGGTCAGTAGCAGTATATATTAGAGAAAAACCGAACCATCAAGGTGTTCGTCAAAAACTAGAAAATAATTATGAAATTGTACAAAATTGGAGATAATTCGAAAAACTGTTTCCAACCCCCGTAAATAAGTACGTTTCCGTAAAGTTTTTGAACTCCTGTATTGGATAATAACTACCTGTATAGTATGACATAATAAAAAAAAAAAAAAAATTGGTTTTAGATAATTATTACCTATGGTCAATTAACACGGTTTTTATTTTTAAAGGTTATACGTATAATTATTATTAATATGTCTAACCTCTGTGCGTATATACGTATATATAGAAAGTGCTGATTCCGTGTTTACGTCATGAACCCATAACAATTAACATATTGAAAAGGTTGTGTTCATATATGTTGTGTGTAATTTTTTTTTTTTCATACGATTATAAGTAAATACAAAGCTGAAAACATAGTATTTTGTTGATGGAATTTTCGAGTTATTTATTTTCTATTTTTCTTTTTGTGAACTATAAATAATATTTGTTCATATTTTCCCACGGCAATTTTACGTAATAACCTCAATCATCAGTATTAATTTGTACACTTTTAACATAAATATTTTATGTGCCTACCTAATAATACTAAACTTGCTTTTCATTTGATAACAAATGTACAGGCAGGTACTTAAACACTGCAGACATATATAATCATTTTATATGTTTATTATAGTACACCTAGCTATAATATGCGTTTTAAAATTAGTTTTATGTGCATGGGAAAATACCTGCGATGCGCATAAGTTGCAATGGACGACGAAAATTATAGTACCTAGTAGAAAAATATTTTCTACGACACGTGTGGACGCATACATATTAATGTTCCAGAAAATAAACGGTCAGATAATAGGATTTCTGAATTCCTAATCTAATGGGAAGTAGAAATCCAGAAAATAGTTTTCCGGGAAGTGATGTCAATATAGGCGGGGGTCATTTATTCCCTCGTAAGTCTGAAGACAGGGGGAAAAACTCGACAAACATAACCTCAAATATTGATGTCGAAAAATCAAGAGATATGTATCACTTGTTGGAAAACTACTTTCTGTGATTATCATAATTTCAAGGGAGTTACACGGTTCATAAATTGACGTCACAGTTTTTTTTTTTTTCTTAGTAATATTAAAGTACCCTCATGAGTGTCTCTGTTCGCTCGGAAGTCCTATACGAGACGATAATATGATATTCTAAGCAGGATTTAAAATTAAGAGGGGACGTAGTTCCCCAATCTCTGATTGCACTTAAAAAGGGACCTCTTTAACGGAATTTCCAAAAGGTATACGTGGATACGCTGAAGCCATTAAGTTGAACCAAAAAAAAACAAAACTAAAGTGAATCTTATTTTTATCATTCCTTATATAACTGTTTTAATGATTAATTGATTACCTGCAATTTTATTTTACACCCCTATAACACGAATTAAGATGCTATAATGTATGTACTTTAGACGTTGATATAACTAATACGTATGTCGTATATTCCATTTGTCGCATGTAAGTCTTA